CCCCCCCCGGCCCCTGCCGCCCCCCTGCCCGCTGCCCGGACCTTGGCTCCGATCTGGTTTCCGCACTGCCCGGCCTGCAGGTGCACGATCTCCCTCATGATGGCGGCGGCACGGCTCACTCCCTCCCAACGCCACTCTTCCCTCAACCGACTCTGACGGCGCGAGGGGACCGCCAAGCTTTATATAGCAGCGGAATGCGCGCGCAGCCTTCTTTTCCCCGCCCAGGCGGCCATCCGCAGCAGCTATTGGCCACTCATAACGAGGCTCTAAAAATGAGGAAATCTGGTTGGATAGGACGCTGTCATTCAAATCAGTGGCTCCTATTTGCTCCGCCCGGCTGTCTGTTGATTTTACTGTTAGGCAACGGGGACCCACGAATGCCCGCCCTACTCGCTCAGGGCACTCCCGATTGGCTTAATTGAATGATTGATGTCGAGCGTGATTGGCTGTCAGCCTCAGGGATGAGCTAACGTCATTTGATTGGCTGAAAACAAAGTGTCCTAGTAACCGTCGCAATGACTCCGCAGCAGGCCCTGGGCGGTGGCTCGCACAGCCGCCCATTCCCGAAGCCGTGTGCGCGCTTTGCGCAGCGTAGGCGGCAGCTCCTCCTTACTGCGGGAGTAGGGGGAGGGAGGGCGGTTTCCGGGGAAACCGGGCCGGGCCGGGCCGTTCCCCCCCCGCGGGTCCCGAGCACACCCACACCCACTCCTCCCGTCTTTCGCCTCCGCTCCTCCGGGAGGGCCTCGGCCGCCCGTCCCCGCCGCCACCCCCTTCCCCCGCCCTCCGTCGGCCCCGGGGCGCTGCAGCGGCGTGGTGGGGGCAGGGAGCCCGTCTGCGCAGGCGCGGGCTGCGGCGCCTTTCTAGCACTTTCTGGCGCGCAGCCGCCTGAGGCAGCGGGGGCCGGGCGGCCGTTGTTGTGGCATGCGCGCTCCGCGGCGGGAAGGGGCTAGGCCGGGGAACGGCGTGCGGCGGGGGTCAGTGGCGGGGGTGTCCCGCCGTCTGCTTCGGGGAGCCCGCGGCGGCTCGGGGCGGGGGCCGGCGGCCGGGGAGAGCCGTTTGGCGGCAGCTCCTTTGCGGGGACGCGCTGTGCGGCGAGGGCAGCACTCGTGTGAGGCGGTGTCCTCTCACGGGCCTCGAGGTGGGCGGCTGGCTGGCTCACCGAGTCCTGCTGAGGGTGAGCAGAGCAGCGCTGTGCTAGGTGACCCCTCTGTTATGTTGCAGCCCTATCGTGAGGCAGCCAAGCATCCCAAGCTGGATAAATGTCTCCCTCGCTTAACTTTCTGTCTCTTACTCTGCTGTACTGTTTCCTTCTGCCATCCAACTTTGTTAGCACATTCTTGCATAGACTGTTCATCTATTGGTCACGGCTTCTACTGAGCATACTTTGTTGTTTCAGCAGAGTCGTCTTATGATTATATGTATTCATTAGGATGCCAGCAAGGTCTACAAGTCCTAGCATCTCTTCTTGTTTCATACTGTAGCTAAAACTTGAAAGAGACTCCTAATTGAATTCTCCAAACCTAGCTAGTGTCAAACTGCTGCCTTGATGTGGGGGTGGACTGTGGCAAAAGCAGCAGTGACCTCAATTCTTTCTACACAAACAGAGCACATCGGGCTGGCACTCTGTGTCATTCAGGCATTCATATGAGACAGAGGTACATTATGGCTTGTATACATATCATGATCTATGTTTGGCTAACAATAATCCAACTGCTTCTGTGACTGGGTCACGTGAGGAGGTGGGCAGGAGAATGGCACTGTGAAGACTTTTGGTGGAGATCGAATAGCCTCTGGTAGTTGGCTTAATACAAAGGTTATGGTGATTGATATTTCTGGCATGTAAACAACATAATCCCCCAGAGATGCTGGATGGAGCCCAGGAGCACTTGGAGCAGCCCCTGGGAGGAGAGACCCTGGGAGGAGCCCCAGAGCATCAGGAGTGACCCAGGAGGATCCTGGGCAGTGCCAGGAGCTCCTAAGAAAGACCTTTATCAGCCGCAGAGGTGCCCAGACACAACTAGGAAGACACACGTACAGCTCATCCTCCACATTCAAAGCCAGAATGCAGGAGGTTTATGCAGTTTACTTCGAGATAGCTGAGTAATGCAAAGGCATTAGGGTCCAGATTTACCCCACCTAAATATAGACATTTATTTGAATAGTTAACTCTGGGCTGTATTCACACTGGAGTCAGTGGAAAGGGATGGCTCGGCCTATTCCAGCTCTGAATAGCCCTCTGACAACAGCTTTCTGTTCTCTGTAAAGGTGTTTGAGGTGACCAAATCCAAAATCTCAGTATCATTTAAGTATCAAAGCCAGCCAAGATGAATCCAGATCAGACTTGCTCAAGATTTCGTACAAAGCTGTAATAATCAGTAAAGACAGCTTTTCGTCCAGGACGTGATGCCATCTCTTCAGAGTAACATAAAAAATTAATGCTGTCTTCTTTCTGATTAAAAAGAGAATGTAGAATGTCTTGCCTATGTTCTGCTGTCTAGGAAAGTACATTCAGCATAAATTCTCATCGAGGCGTACTCAGAACAGCGTTAGCAAGCTTCTGCGCTCATGAAGCCCTAGAAAACCATCCCTAAAATGGAGCAGGGGGAGCCACTGCAGGGCTAGTAGGAGGTTTGCTGGTACAAGTGCTGCTGTATTTAATGCAGATACGGATTTTTTTTTCAGCCAGGGCCAGAAAGCAAAGGACTGCACATCAGTGACAAAGATCTATTTCCTTACTTTGTTAGAAATCGTGAGCCTTTGTAGCTGGTGCTTCTCACAGCTTGTGCTTCAGCCTGCACTGCCTTTAATGTTTGGGTAGCTGTTCTGTAATGTGTAGAGTGAGAAATCGTTGCCACCCCTAGCATTCCCAGTGGCAGCAAAAAAGTGGAAATATGCTGCTCTGTTAAGACTTCCAATCTGTATCTCTAAAATGCTATCAGGATTGCACCCAGCAGAGCAGGGGGTAGCACCCTATGGGGTAGCTAAAACTTTGCTCCTGTGATTGAGCCTCCAGAGGTTTCCCTGGGAGATTCAGCCACCTGAAGATCTATGGGTTAGGAGGCATTTCA